TCTTTTAAAAGTGTACTTAATCTACAATTGAAAGTAAAATTAGACATCAATTTTTATATGGCTTTTTTTACAATTTTTTAAATATATTTAATTCCTTACTTATTTTCTTTTTCATAATCTTGACATACATCAATAATTTGTAATATATTATGATTTGCAGCTAATTGCAGAGATCCAACATTAATTTGAGCATAATCTTTTAGAAAATCTTCAGCTAAATTTTTTACTTCCTTGGGCCATGTAGCAGACCACATTAATGTCTGTCTATCTGGTCTAATTTGTTCTATGATTTTTCTAATTTGAGGCTCAAATCCCATATCTAACATTCTATCTGCTTCATCCAATACTAAATATGTACACCTCTTTAAATTTGTACGCCCAGATTCAAGAAAATCTAGTAACCTACCAGGTGTAGCTATAACAATCTCTACACCACCATCTAAATCTCTAGCCTGTGCACCTTTTGGTGCTCCACCATACAGACAAGTATTTCTGATACCAGAGGAATGACCAAAATCATCAGCAACTTGCTGAATTTGTTGTGCAAGTTCTCGTGTTGGGGCTAGAACTAAAGCAATAGGTCCATCTTTTCGACCTAACTTAGGTTGACTATTAATGTGAACAATTGCAGGAAGTATATAAGACAGTGTTTTTCCAGAACCAGTTGATGCAATTCCTACCATGTCTCTTCCACTTAAAGCAATTGGCCAACCTTGTGCTTGTATTGATGTAGGTTCAGTAAAACCTTGTCGTCTGAAAATAATAAATAACAGCAACTCTTTTATAATCTGTTGAATGAAATGGCCTATATTCTATAATATATAAAAGCTTAATTTAAGTTTTCCAATATTTAGTTTAATTATTTTGATATAATATTAGTTCTCTGTTTTTTTTTCTTATTTTCTTAAAATCCTAACAATGTCAGCTCCATTCTTACTTGATCTGATGAAAGTTAAATTTTCAGAATAAGCAAGTTTTAAGTTTTGACAGTATTCTTGACAATATACAACATGTCATCACATACTGGATATTTGTTCTAAACTTAAGAAACAAATTCTAATATCATAATTGTAAAATAATTACTCTTTGTAACTGTTAAAACATTTGGAGCATTTTTATTCTAAACAGACTTATTACTTTAAAAGTACTTACTTAATTTCTTTTAGAACATAATCTGGGAAACCCGTTTCTTCAAATGTAAATACAGGGTTAGGTATATTTTTCCCCTTTAATGTTATTTCTTTTTCACTTCTGTATTGTTCAACTACACGTGGATCACGGTTTTGAACTGCATCATGTGGTACATAAAAATCTTTTTTAAAAGGTTCTAATCGACTCAAATCCCATCGTGGTTTTCTTAAATTTGCTCCAGGTTGTCCACGACTATTTCTGCCACCACCTCGATCTCTACCTCCACTGCTACCCCAATTTCTTCTATCTCGTGGTGATCTACTACGAGATCTACTACGAGATCTACGTCTCCTATCCCTATCACGACTACGACTAAAATAAAATATATAAGAATCATTAACATTATATAATATTATAACTCATTACAAGTATTAATACTTTATATTGCTAATATAATATTCACCTTTTAAGCAGAAGGTGTATATGGAATTATAAAAATAAAAACAAAAATATTTTTATCATTGTTTAATATTTTTATTGCATTTGCAATATATAAAATTTGCAACAAGCTTAATTAACTTGTGGAATTATAAAAATTTGAATTTTTCCATTAATTTTAGAAATATAAATTACTTTAAATTTTGTCGTATATATAAGCTATAAATTTCTTCCAAAATCTATACCAAAAACATGTGGAAGGTTATAATTGTTACAAATATATTACAAATGCTTTAGGATTTCATTTTATTTTTTTTTTAATTTATATTGTTTATTTTGTATACAATTCTTTTCTACTTTACTGCATAAACAATTGCAATTCAATTACATTCATTTTAAGTATGCGATATTAATGCTGAACACTCAGCATATTGATAACATATATCTTCACATATCTATATACATGCACGGCTTACCTCCTGTAGCGACCCATGTTCAATTTTTTCTTAGTTTCCTTCTTCTTTTATTACAATACTCCACTACTAATAATAATTACTCAAACACAAAAAATACGAGATATCATGTAAGTTATAAAATCTAACTCCAATCAAAAGACGTAAATGAAAGCGGTTCTTATACCACAAACGACACAATCACAAGAAGAACGTTGCTACCGTAAAATTTTTAACGCATGCGCGACAATAAATGAAATCTATCTTTCAATAATCATATTTTATTCAATTTTATAAAAAAATATAAGATTTATACAATACTCTCTAAATTATAATTATTCATTTATCAATATTATCATAAAAGTTTATACATTTGAGATTTTATTTCATCATATTGTTTTAAATTTATTGCGAACAATTCTGTAACAGAACTTCCATTTTTAACTTAAAAACATATATATATAAGAAATATTTATTAATAACAAGAATTTTTATGTTTCCAAGAAGCATATTTTCAATACTTGGATTTTTATTTTCACCTTATAAAATTTCATTCTTCTTCTTTTATTAGATTATTTAACTTATTATCCTAGATTTCGATTTTTAAGATGAATAGAATATTACTTATTAACATTTGAACTATTCTTTACATAAAACTAAATAGTTTATCATGTTTCTACTCTTCTATACGGATTATGATGGTCCCACAATAGAGTACAGTGTTAGTTGCCTTTGAGCTATCGAAGTAGAAGGAAAGGTTAGGTTTATTTCGTGTCATTGTGTATTAATACTTTAAGATACAAGTAAAACATTTTTTAATTATATTCTCCACAATGATGAGATTTTTTTGTACTTTTTCTACAAAGTGTTATATATCTTTTCTTTTGAAAACAATTTATGTGTCCATAGTATATAATTAAATGTTAATATCGAATTCATACAAATAATTCTTTAGCATTGTTATACGTGATCTGACATTTAAATCGATTCATTACGATAAAATGAAATTCAACGCAGTGGAAAAATTTCTAAAAATTTCGTGAAAATTAAAAAACGTAAGATTGAAGTATGATAATAAATGCATGTAAAAACCTTGAACAGCGAACGTGTAGCGAAAAATAATATGCATGATCTAATAAGACAAAGCAAGGAGATAGTTACACGAAGAACGTGATGAGAAATCGTCAAGGCGTCAACGACAACTGAATTTCAGGATCAACATCGCTTCCTTTTTTGTCATGCGACAACCACGGTACAATGAGAAACGGGACGATTACCACGCGTGCTGATGTTTACGCGGAAGAAATTCCTTGTACATCTGAGAGGTAAACTTTTTATTTTTATTAAGTGTAATAAATAATATTTAAAAAAATATCAATTTATTATTATATTGTATATTGCAACTTTTGTGTAGTGTTAAGAATCAAAAAACAAGAAAACGAGGATGCTTTTCTCTGAAAAGTACGTGTACCTCTAACGATTTATTGTATAAATTCCTCCAGTGTAATTGTAACTTAGTTACATAATTATATAGTATTACTAATAATTAGTATGGAAATGTTTGTACGATTCAGCTTCGATATCTTATGCCTTTTCATCGAATCTGAGTATCTCATGCTAGATGCTTTGTGGTGTCGAGTGACTTCCACGAAGGTAAAGAAGTAATTTAATCTGTCATCTTTGAAGGTAAACGAAATAAGTGTGAAAAACATTATTCAAACAATGCATCTTAAAATACTATCATAAAATTATAAATATTTCTTTTTGATTCTATAATTTTTATTTTTAACGAAGACAATGTTTTATTTCATTTAACTTTTTAAGTTATATGATATTTTTTTTATTGTTATATTATTTATTTGTCTACATTCGTGTCATAGAAGTAAAGAAATTCAAACTATTGTCACTATTTATCTAGTAAATTTTTTCGAAAGGCATTGGTACGAAAGATTTAATTTTTTTGTTCTGTGTCCATCCCGCTTTAAAACCGGTTTATGTTGGCTAACTTATATGTATATTAAAGGATGGAATAAGTCAAACTGAAGAGAACGAGCTTCAGTAAAATTTCTATACCGGCCTAAAAAAGTTAATGATATATATAGTACACGTAGTATATTATTTGAAAAGAAGCGATGAAATACATATATATTATCCTTACACGTGTAAAAATTTATATATTTTAAAACTGGTTTTTTCTTTTTTAACTTTCTTTTTATATTCTATATTTATCTAATTAAACTATTCTCGATTACAATATTTATTATTTTGTATATTAATCATTTTTAAAAATTAAAAAATTTTTTTAATAAGTTTTATCCAACGTTAACAAGGAACTTCATAACCACACACAGAGAAAAGGTTTACGGTGGTAAAAATACATCCGGTCCTTAATATATTAAGCAATGGGAATATCATACAGTAACAAGAAGAAGGGTGCATTAGTTTCGAGCAATATATATCCAATCCCTTACGTTTTGAATACGTAATCGACATAAATTACATATTTCCAATTATTAAATTACATTACTATATTGTTTAAAAAGATTTTGTATATTGCAGTAGAAAATATCAGTGTAAATATTCATATTATAATTTATATTCATATGTATTCATATGTATTAATAATTCATATGCAGTATAAAATAAGAACTACTTAAAAAGAAATTACATTAGTTGGTAGATTCAAAAGTCTGTTCTGTGACGCATGCGTATCTCATTATGTCGTAGTATTCCACGTTCAAAACAACGTTGTTTAATAAAACATATCTTCATTATATAATGACTATGTACCCGACCCTTGTAATTCAATCACAAGATAAATTAATGCCATTGATAATCCTTTGCTATTGGTCATTAATAAAATAAATAAATAAAAATAACAGATATATTTTTCGCAATTGCTGAGAAGTTTATCAAACGACAGAAACGTATCTGTCGTATGAATTTCGTAAGTTGAAGTTTTCAGTTATAATTATTAATTATATTTGATTTGATTTTGAATTACAATATTATTAGATTATTGTGACTTGTTAGCACTTAGTTTATTAAATGACTGCCATTCACCCGGCAAGCTTCGACTCTACCTCACCTGCTCCCCCTTTGGCGTATGTTTCGTTTGCTCTGGCCAGTCTTTCATATGCCTGCGTGCTCGTCGGCCGTTGAAATCGAGATGCTATGTAATTTCGGTCCCGGGTACGGTTATTTGTGAACGTAAACAGACGTAATTGAAGCAGTTCATTTCAACAATTATCTCACTAATCGCAAAGTTATGCGTTTTAAGAATCCGTTGCAACAGCGTGGCTCTTACGAGTAAGTTTAACAAGCAGATTTGGCAGATTTCGAGGTTAAGCATTCTTTTCTCACCCTTATCCTCCCGGTCAATTTTAATTCTCCAATTCTCGTTTGCTCAGTTCTTCAGAATTTGATTGATATCAGGAAAAATTTGTATATTTTCACTGTTCATTGTGAACAATTATTCATAAAGTATATATATAATATTTCAATTTTATTTAATTCTGTATATATATTTTTTTTAGAGATATTTGAAAATATAATAATACATAATTGTTTGAAATTTTGTTCTTTTAATCAATAGTTAGAGATTTTAATATCCAGTTACAGTTAAATGAGAAAACTAATGTGTTAAGTGAATTGACCTTCTCGATAGTAATGAGATAAGTGGCTTCCAATTGCAATCATGAAAATTCGTGGGGTTGAGACGAAGTATTTAATTATGCTTTTTCTGTATGATATTTCAGTCTCATAATCTTAAATAAAGTAGAACGTAGTTTAACTAAAAAATAATAGGATCAAAGAGTCATTATGCGTAGCATTGTGAGTAAACACGAATTGTTAAAAAAGATTTTAATTATAAACATAACCTTCTCTGAAATTTGAACATCTAAATAATTTTATAAATTTCTAATTTTTAATATATTTCTCATATTTGTGATTCTAATAATAGATTCTTCGCTTATGCAATTTCTGAAAAGTGATATTAATTCCGCCTGCGGTTTTATGAAACTTTCATTCGTCGAACATTCTTTTTAAGTTGTCCCCAATAAGATCCTTTTACTTTGCAGATATTACTGTATCGTATCGTGTATCAGATTTTTATCGAAAATAGTTAACCAAACACAAAATCTACAAAATACCTATCATTATCTAGACAACATTAGTAATTAGTTAAGTAAACTAATCAATTAAGTAAAAAATTTCTTCTTACTAATTTGTAAAGAGAACCATATAACTATGTAAACATTTTTACAGTTTCATTCGTTTTTGATAATGTATATTTTTTAATCGTTTATTCATATATTCACCTGATAGTGATGTTCTGGAAATCTCGAGTTTCTGTAGATAAATTACTGTTTTAGTTTTAGCGTAAAAAGGATGGTTTTTGTTGGAGGATACACTCCTGCGCCCACGTGAAAAGTATACACGCGGGATGGGAGCGTATTAGAAGTTAGATCGAGCAGTTGATGTGGATTCTCGATCGTGGCTGCTCATGTTTCGCGGTACACCAATCATTTCGATTAAAAAAAAATACTTTCATCAGATGTAGTTAATCTTCATAATTACAGTAACACATAACTCTATAGATATAAATTAATCAAGTTTCTGTCATTTATGTGAATAATATATGTAATTGTTTTTACATACTTGTGCTTGTAATTTTTATGACAGTGAATCGATGTGTAAATGAATTTTAAAATGAATGCGTAGTTCAGTGTTTTTTGTGATGCTGAAATATTTGTAGAGTAAAGACGAACAATTTGTTTGCATTAAAATTTAAAAGTAATCTCTTTTTACCGATAGAGCAATTTTGAATAAAGTTTGCTTATTTCTTTATTTTTTATTTTTTATTCTTCCAGTAATATTATTCATACATTAAACAATGTATAATTAAATTGTTGTATTTATATGTTTATACAGTAATAAAGAAATCATTCTTATTATGAACTCTTGTTCCGATTATCGAACAATGGTGGTTCGAATGTTGAGGTAACGATTGTTGTTATTGGATTATCGTAAGTAGAACTAAAATCTGATATGATGGGTTTCTGATGATTTTTATCGATTATTCTTGCATAATATATGAATGCAAAATTAGTAATGTACGAGTTAACAAAATGTTCGTTTTGAAAAGGTTTATATAATGATACTTCTGTGATTTAACCATTAAATGTTTTCATTTTATGACGCAATGCGTATGTTTTGCAAATCTTCAAGCGCGATTAATTGTTCTTTCATATACACAGTGAACCAACTACATAATTTCGTTAGTATTTCCAGTGCATGAATGTAATAATTTATTCTTTGTACAATTTCATTGTTGTAACAATTATTGGGTAATTTAATAACGACGGATAACAAGTTTCTAATTTTGCATGCAATTAAGTAAAAATGTTTGAAGTAACTTTAAATTTGAATACGTCAACTGAAGTTCGACCATTTTATTATAAGCAAATATATGTATTTCAATAGACAATGCATGTACTTAATCGGTAGAACCTTTGCTGCCATGTTATTTGTTTTAATTAATTGCAATAATTTGTATTATCTGCAGAAATATCTCTTTTCTTCTTGAAGTAGTAATTACGCATTTTTATTCATAACAATTATTTCTTTTTTTATTTTTTAGTTGACGATAAAAGGGATACACAAATTTTCCATTGTAAAAACTAATTTGTTAATATCTTTAAAAACCACGGACTAAGTAAAATTTGTATTATGAAACATTTCTTACATATCTCTTTATCGATTCTTTTTATTACTGCTATATCGATGTATTGTACCCTTAACTATCAAAATAGAAAAAGTTAAGTTTCTTCATTTTATCAAATTGATGGTGCGATCAAATTCGATAACGTAATGTGTGATTAGTGATGTGTGAACTTGGAATAAAACAGGAGGAGAGATGGTGGCGCTGTGTTCGCAGTGTTAATGGAAAAGGATAAACGATTCGAAACACGAATCTTGAGGCAGCACATTTTTACATGAGATGGCGTGATTCTATTCTCTTGAAATCTGCGATATCCACAAAATGGCCAAGCAAATGTCGTTTTATTCCACTCTGACGACAGAAGAAAAGAGTAGAATGCAACCGTGTATGAAAGCTAGGTGGTATGTCTTCTTCTTTACACTTTCTACCAAGTACTTAAGAGGAAGAGGGGAGAGAAAAAGGCAAAGACACTTTGGGTTGTCGAATATTTTGGGTGTATTCGTCTATATTTCCATCATTATTGAATATTCTTATATCGAATACTTATTTTTTATATCGTATGGTCATTTCTCAAAATAGAGTCAAAGGATTTAATAGTAATGCGATTTTGGTTGTTCTCATCTACCTTTTTTATGTAGTAATAATTATGTTGCCGCAATAAATCACAAGATGTAAAGTAATCGATGCAATTCAGTCAACAAAACATAAGTATTCAGCATACTTCGAGTTAAGTAATGATTTTTTAGGTGCATTGCGATAAGCACGGGTAAGACACTTGAGTTGAATAGTAAAGAGACCAGGGTCAACTGCGTGACGAGCTTGAATAACAGAGCACCAGTTGACCAGATCAACGAAGCGATGTATAACTTGAATTTAACTTATAGAAGCTGTTACTATGCCCTTTAAATTTTTCCGTATAGTTATCCACGAGTAATAATTCCCCACATCTTATATATTACTTGCTAAAGAAATATAATCTTTTAAACCATTAATATAAAGTGAAATTCACAAACCTTATATACTGTGCCATTCTTTTATTTTAGTATTCGTATAAAATGGATATAAAATAAACAGTTGATTATGGTAAAAATGTGAAATATTTTATTTTAAATAAAACTGAAATAAAAAATGTATACACAGGAAATGAAAAGAAAATCTAAAGGATGTTTTATTTCAGTGTCATCATGTCCAGTGATTCACCCTCGCCGCTGCAGACCTCTATACCTCTGGTAGACTACGACATACCAGATGAAGCGCGTCCTGGTAAAATCACACCGACCACACCTACTACTCCGGTGACGAGTAAATTATTGAATACCGATACCGATACTGAGACGATTGAGAATGCAGTACCAATCGCACAGACAGTGCTGCCGGTCCCCGAACCACAGCCAAAAATCGAGAGGAATGGAATTGACTCGGAAGCAACCAAACCAGTCACTCAACCTGAAAACGACTCCTGCGTTGTAGATTGTATATACTTCACGCAGCAGTGCTGCGAGTGTGTAATACTTTAACAGCCAGAATTCTCCGAGTGTCAAATAATCATTTATATTTGTTGCATGAATTCACATGATTGTGAAAAGAATTTGAATTATATTGAATCATGTTTCCATGGAATTATATACGTTATAAAAATTTAGATGGAAATCTAAATATCGAGTTCTGGCTGATCGATTCCTTTAAACAAAACATTATTAAACTTCTAAAGTTTATATCATATTTGAGAAATTTATACTCATCATGGTTTCGTCACTTTTTCTAAATAAGATAAGTCTGAAATATATATTAAGAATATATTTTAAGAACGATACAATTTCGAGGAGATATTTAAAAAAGTCAATATTTTTATGAAATAATCACTTCTTGTACAAAGTTTATAAAGTACATAAAATTGCAAAAATTTGAAATTTCATTATTATATATATATATATATATGAAAATATATAATTACATTATAAAATATATAATTATATATGAATCTAAAAAACTTTTACATAATTTGTTATACAAATGCATTAAATAAAAAAATTGCATATTTTATCAACACAGATGATAGTAATAATTGATCGATTATCGTATTGAATTTTAATAATTGTAATCATTAACATTGGTAGACTGCTAAATTTCATTCCAAGTTATAAAAATTATATTTTTATTTTATACTTTATAAAAATTTACATTTTACAATTTATATAAATTTTACTTTTATTAAATTTTAAATGTCTTGTAAATTTTGAGCAGAAATTAATTAACAGGAATTCTTTTCTAAAAGTAATGAATTTAATTTTATAAAAAAATTCTGCATGATAATTTTCCATGCATTCCTGTTTCTTCAAAGTGATATCATATTACTCTTTAAGTAATTAGTTCATATCAAGTGGTTTATAATTTATAATATATTCTTCTTAAAAATTATGCAATATCACTAATTTTTACACACGCACACACAAAGATGAAAGAATGCTTATAGTGTTTTATAAAATTTAATTATATATTATTTGACAATAAATTAATCTTTGTTTTTAAATATTATGTTCATTTATCAACGAATCATTTAAATTAAAATATACAAAAAATACATTTAAAATATTGCACATTTGTTAAGAAGAAAAAATCTAATTTGACTAGAATATTTGAAAATGATATAAGAGTAACTTCTTATTTTAAGGTTGTATTAATTTTTCAACTCTTATTTTACAAAATATTGTAAAAAAATGTTCTATTTTATTAAGTAAATAATGTAGACAATTTGCATTACTACGGTTAAATGTTGTTATAAGTATATAAAATGATTCTATTTATTTTAGAAAGAAAAGGATTTGGTATACTAGGCTATAAGTAAGAGAACAATTATTTCCATTCTTTTTTTCTTCTTTTTTTTTAAGGTATTGTACTCAACAATTCTTATACACTGTTCAGGAGTGTGATTTGGAATATGTTTTGTATAACTTTTATTATGGTACTTGTTATGTAATAGATGATAATGATTAATTCGAAAATACACTTTTGAATTGAAAAATTAGTAAAAAATTGAGTATAAATAGTTAGTCATTAGCAAATGCATAATTTCTGTGCTTCTTTTGCCATAGAATAACGCATGAAAAATGTTTTTACTAAAATGTAATGTTTGGGAATTATTCCTAGAAGATCATTAATCTAAAATCGTGGTCTATTTCATATTTTAAAGTACATTAATTCGACTAACTTCTTATCTGCGTAATATCGTTAAGATATCTATTCACTGGCCTCAAAAGGTATTTAAGATTTCTTTAATGGTGCAAATTTATACATGAAATTTTGTGATTAGATTTGATTATGATTCATATACAGGTAGGGGATGTCCTTCTGAATTAAATACCCATCTATCCAAATCTATTAATTGTCTTGTATCATCAAACAACAAGTACAGGTATTTCAAAGTTTCAGCAAACCAAAAGCTTTCTGTCATGTCCTTTTGTAGTGTATTATAAACGTTCCTTACATTACCAATGCTGGTGTACCCTTTCTCCACTTTTGTATAGTTTTCAAAGGCCTATTAAATCAGATATATATGTTTATGTGGGTATGTGTAATTAAGAATACGACAAATATATGCATGTTTTATAGATAAATATACTTTTAGTTAATTGCTTACTTGAAATATCTGCCATCCCCAATCTTGGAATGTCTTATTTCCAGTGAAATACCACATATAAAAAAGGCTTTCAATAAATTCTGGTCTAAGTAAATTATGTGCATCATTTATTTTCACATACATATCCATTGATTTTTCTCCATCTGTATTCTATAATTATAATACATCTGTAACTTTTTATAATCATCTTTATTAAGTTTACAACTATTATAATTACCTGAATATTGAAATAAGTAATTTCTGGAGCTAGAAATGTGGGCTGAATTGCATATGTTTGATAACAAGTCTTAACAATTTCATTAGCAAGATCCATATGATCAGATGGTAAACCATGATGTACTCCTAAAGCTAAAGTACCTGCTAAGTAACATGTAAGGTGATCCTACAAAGCAAACATAATAATTATCAACACTATATGATATTAAGTGATCAGAAATGCTTTCATTTTTAAATTTACCATTTTTGGTGTTATTTCTTTGTTTGCTCCAACTAACTCTGCTATGAAAAGATATTTATTAATTGCTGTACGTTTCACCAAATGCTTTTGAGTTCCAGTAATACCTAACAGATAATCATTTCGTAGGCTAAAAATATTTTAAAATTAAAACAATCTGAGAGTAAAGAACAAGTTTCTAATGAACAAAAATTATAAAATACTAACTAATTAATAGTCTTCCCAGTTTGAAGCCATTGTTTCAATAAATATTCGTAATAACTATCACCACGTGCGCCAAGTGTAATTGTTGCATGATCTCTAAAGTGTCCAGTATTAGCATTAATGAAAATAGGTACTAAACCATCATATTTTTCTAATTGGTGTACATGTTCTGAAACTTTTGCTACTGCTTCCTATAGGATAACAATTGCATACTTTTCTACATATAATGCAAATAACAAAGAATTCATATTTAAAGTGCATCTGTAGTTACCTCGAATTTAGGATCTCCTGTACTGCGACTTAAATCACGAAATTCCAATTGGATTGATGTAACTTCACTTGTACTACTATCAGGACCCCATTTAGGACCATGTGCAGTTTTAGCACCAAGATTTACATCAGAATATGGAACACCAGATGAAGTAGAAAATGCAGGCATCAAACGTTCTCCTAACATTGTCTATAGTTTATGAAATGTAGATTTTTATAGTTATATATTTTTAAATAACATTGAATAGCTTTAAAACGTGAAGGACGACTTACAGCTTTATTTAAAAAAATCTTGTCTCCTGAAAGATGATATGCTGATAATAAACCTCCTAATACTCTAATTGTAACTTCAAATAAATTAACATCTCTATTCGAAGTGAACACTAAATTTTTATCAACCCATGTTTTAGCTTCTAAAAATTCTGAAGAGATAGAGAAGTATTATTAATTCTATAAATTTCTATAATTGTGTATAATTGTGTAAATATGAATTAGTACCGTTATTTAAGCCCATTATGTACATAGTATCAAGGGAATCAACTATAGTAAGGCCTAAGCCAAACCATTCATAATATTTTTTTGATATTGGTTTCACATTATCATAACCCCAAGCATATTCTTTGTAACCATTCCATGAATACTTAAATGCTGTAACTACTGCTTTCTGTCTATTATTCTGTGGTCCTAAAAATAAAATAAAAAGTAATTTTAGTGTTATTGATAAATAAAGATATATGCAAAGATATAGTACTTATAGTAATAGAAAGTTACCATTAAATTTAAGTGTGTTTGGCTTAGGTTGAGGTGGTTCGCCAATTTGATCATCATCTACTTGGTTTATTTCTGGTTGGAATTCAGGTTCTTCAATGACCTCTCCACCCCCTTTATGTTCTTGATTTATACTATCTACTACAATATCTTCTGCTGCCTAAAAATGATATTTTTTAAAGGAATTATAAGACGTTCTCTTATACAACAATTTTATTGATATCAAATCACTTATACCTTTTCATATTTTAGACTATCTTGCACTACTTCTATGTTATTGTAATCATTTTCATCTAAAACTCCACTTTTGTTATCACCAGGTAACAGATAAAATATAACTAATATGATAGTAATAACTAAAAAATAAAGAATATTTCTCTGAAACCTTGATAACTGATTCCATTGCTAAAAAAAAAACAAGACTTTTAGTTTTATTCTGAGGATATATTCCATTCCAAAAATTTGAAAGAAAATTAGTTTACTGATGTAATAAGAAATATTTTCTAAACTTACTCTCCAAAGACTACGTGATGATCCTCGTGCGAATGTTGCACTTTCTTGGATATTTAAACTGATATAATCCGTTTTTCCCAAATCCTTCGACGGAAACATATTTCGTTAGAGGTTAAGTTGTTCTGGCGAACGTAATGATAACAAAAGCCAGAACACTTTAAAAAACAATAATCCCACGGTTGCTCATTAATTACAAAAGTCTTCATTTATATAATTTGTGTCAAACATACTGCTAATTATTTATATCCTCTCCGGTAAACCACAAAATTATAAACTCACACTGTACGAATACCACGAACTATTGAAATCATGATGACAAACCCTAATACCTCAAATCTTGATAATTTAAGTTTAAATTTTTATCAATATATTGTTTTATTTATACGTATGCATTGATGTAATGAAATTCATTTTAATTATAATGTAATCAATTAATTAAATAAATTCTTTGCACAGGTCAATTATGTAATTATACAAGTAGTGATCAATTAATTAATATTAAATAATAATAATTTGTGTTTTGTAATCACTATTTTATTTTTAAAGGTAAAGAAACATATATTATTACATACATAGAAAGAGATTTAAGTGATACAGGAAAAAAAAAGATAAAAAATAGAAATTTCTTCCATTTTAATATTCGTTTAACTATTAGTATTCATACAAGGATGATATGGAATGTGGAATTTTATGTTAAAAAAGTATAAATATGAAAAAATAAAATAAAAGTTTATTAAATACATTTTATTTATAATTTTCAATTGTAAGTATATTATATTTTATGTTTAACAATTTGGAAAAAACGGTTTTCAATAAAAATTGCTCTTTTGTAATATGGTTATTGGATATTATTAACTGCTACTATTATTTATAAAACGAATGTGTAAATTATATTATATATCTATATAATTTTGTTTCTCCATTATATTTATTTTATTGGTAGTACTGATAATATAGAATGATAATGAAAGTGTTTTAAGAAAAAGATAAATACCTTGAAAAACAAATAAATTTTAAATAAAATTTTCTTTAAAACCAAAGAATTTTAGTTTACGTTTTCTATTTTCGTTACAAATTTATGTTATACAGCTTTTAAATTATTGCGAAACAATTTAACAATCTAAGTTAAAGATATCTTGTTACTTAATAAATCACTTTAATATATTATTAATACAACTCTGATTATATATATTCCACCAATAAATCAGCCAACGATAGCAATAAAAAGGTTTTCAAAGATTAACTCTATTTCTTGAGTATTTGATTTTCAGTTAAAAATCGAGAAATATTAACAGGAACATAGAGTATGCGAAGAAGTTGCAACTATTGAATCATGTGACGGCATAGACAAAATACATAAATAGTATGAGAATGATAGATATACTTTTTGTTGTTAAATTCCGTCTTTGCATTTGTGTCTACCTTGCATCTTGTATCTATTTTGTTGCATTTTCATGGTTTGTTTATTTACATTCCGCTTTCCATTCCATTTTTATTTCTGTATCATTGTTCGAAAGTAATATCGCAATATTTTGAATTCTTGCGAAACTAACCTCATGATTCTGCAAAACTCGCTATATTCACTGAACTCAACTACTTCATTCTAATGTGAAAATTACAAATACAATAGATTGTAGGACTAGAATTATGAATTAAGCTTAGATAAATAAAAAGAATTCCTTCCGCTTCTTTCTTAATGACGTTTTTTGATTATTGCAATATAGAATATACACATAGTGCTGCTTTCGCATGACTAGATTTAAGCCGCGTGCATCGTTAACGAGTCATGTTGTCGCTTATTTTATACGCGTTAGAGATGTCAGTGGTTCGAATGGAAGTTTAATGCAATTTGAAAATGAAACATGTTAACAAATTTTAAGGATGTCTTTATTTTCAAGGATCAAGAACAGGAAAACTGCTTTGACCGGTCGTCCACAGAAACCTTGACCGTTCACTTTGCTCCTACTGGTTGGAGAATACTACGATTCCTGGTACGTAATACGTGTGGAATTCCCTAGCTCGTCTAACATGAAGATTTCAATAAGAAATGCCATCGACCTACGTCACTCCAACACAAATATGAAATCAGGATGTATAAATTCCGTATATAATGAAAATGAATACTTTCGAACAATGGAAGAACGAGAGATTAAGGAAATTTATTGGCTTTAAAACAATTTCGTTATTTTAAATTAATGTTCCATGAGGATGTAGGTGGTAATAAAAAGGACAAAAGGATATGAGACATTGAGGGATGACAGAGTTGCAATCGAGCAACCATTGTTTGAGTTTTTAACTTTTGTTTCATTATATGCTAACCGATATAGGTTTCCCTTTTATTGATGTACTGTGGTAGATGGTCAAGGATATGGTTACTTTATATAATGGCGTTGGCGATGGCTCCTGTATCCTGTGGCGAACCAAAATATTTTGATTATGGTACTTGATAAAATTCTTTGGTTTGATTTACTACTGTGTTAACTGCTAACGGAGGACAAAGAATAATTCGTAATTGCGACAAGGATGAGGAAATGGTACATTATCAATGGAATTATATTATATGTTATGTTGTTACATATTTACGTTGATAAAACAAAATTTCTATTTTTGATAAAGATTGCTTATCTGCCGAGGAAAATGTGTGAAGTTGAAGATAAGATTTTTCATGTTCTTTAAATTAAGAAATTTCGTAACAAAAGTAAGATCCAATGAGGTCGAAAATGTTCCAAAAACTATGGCGGAGTTAAACAAAGGACAGTATCTTTCGATTTAAATTTAGCGTCCGTACTTTTTGGCAATTTATTGTATATTCTTCATACAATGATACCAGATAAATGATTTTCGATGTGTATATCAGTATACCTATAAGTAATGCAAAAGAATTTTTTAACTAAGTAATTATTGTTGGAATTAACCAGTTTCCGGCAGATACAGCTGGTTTGCAGTTCACTTTCACCTGCATACATCTTCTTATCCCTTACCTACTGTCGAAGGTCGTTTAACGAGCCGACCATCATACCTGCGAATTTCCACAATTTGAAGCAGCGATAAAATTCAACAACATACAGTAAGTAACTATTTGTATCCAAAAAATTACCAATTCTACTTATAACAAAAGTATATGTTTAAAATAAAAATATTAAGATATTATATCTATAATATTAATACGATTAAATACAGTTAGAATTAAAGAAAAATTTCTTTCTATTCCAGTAAGCATACTTAAATTTTCACTTTTATATTTTTTTCAGAATAGTAAGACCATTTGGTACTGTAATAACTTTACAAGAAACTCTAAGGAAGAGAACACCTTTAAAACAACGTGACAATTTGTGACAACTCGAAAAAAATAGAGAAACCGTAGTCTTCGGTACAAGATTCATTCACCTCGACTTCCTCCTTCTTCGTTCGTTTTCCCAGTATCCTTTCATATCAAATAGGCAATGCAGTTCACATTCATCCGTTCTCCGACAAGGCTGTAGCTCAAACAAAGTTTGTTAGAATATTTCGTCCTCATGGTAATTTTTTGGTGTAAGGGAGGGGGCAAAGAGGAAGGGATAGAAGGCGGTGTGAATAAGGTAAGAAACGGGAACTGCGTTTCCCCCATTCCGATCGAGTTTAGGTTCGCAATCCCTACTTCGATTACTTTCCTGTCAAGCGTATCGCAGCTGATCGGAAATCAGTTGTCGTCTGATCCTCGTGAAGGTAATGTACCTGTCGCGATCGTCGCTATAGATGTCACAGTGTTATAAGTTCGAGATCTTCCGCGCGTTTCTCGTCGTCGAAACTCATTGTCATCCGCCTGATCGGATATCCGGTGTTCCTCCAACGCCTTGTGTCAAAACTTCCCGGTGATTCCATCAAGATGAAGAAGGTATTGTGCTTTTAGTTGAAAATTTGTGTCAGATAGTTAGATCGATACAAAGCGTCGTTCTTTTAAGTCAATCTTTGAACACAGTGGACTCTATAACATCAAAAAGAATCTCAGATACTATTGTTTTCCCTGTCTTTGTTTTCCTTTTCTTTGTTATCTCGGCACTTCAACCACGGAGGATAGTTGATATAAGTAAACGTACGCTTGACATTTTAATCATTCAGATTCTGGATAAAATCAGAAGTAAATTACACTTTATATCCAATTTAAAAAATTTATTTAAGAAAATATTTTAAACACAATAAATTAATATTTTTTTAATTTTCTTATTTACTGAGGAGTTTCTTGACGATCATGTGATGAGAATTGACACGTGCCACTGAAGCCAACACAATAGGAGTAAAATGTTACACGAATGCATTTCATAAGATAACGTGGGACTAGTTACACTGACATTTAGATCTGAAAGTTGCATGGTGCATCATCGGCGGAGATTTGTTCGTTTATCGTTAGGTTTCTTCTTTAGTTTTAGAAATTAAAATTCAAAACTGATTTGTTCTACGAAAAATTGTTCACTAATCAATTGTTTAACTTCTCAAGAAGAATATTTCAACAAATGTATCATTCTTCAAAACATATGTTACTTTTTTTATAACTCTTTTCTAGAAAGAAGATCGAATCATTTTACCACAGTTGTAATTTAACTTATCAACCAATTTGTTACCTTTTAGTGAGAAAAGAAGTTCATTCTTCTTAATCATCCGAGAGCAAGATCGATTGAAACCACTCTGGGTTTTTTACATCATTGAACAATTTATCCCTCGAGAGATACTTGATTTTCAATTTCGTAGTTATCCATAACAGGAAAGATTATATTGATAGAATATTACCAAATCTTAATGAACTTTTCAAGCAACTGTTTTCATCATTTTCTTTCGAGTAGCGTTTATGACATTTTTTCTTCACTGTCGAATCAGTTTAAAAACTGTAGTTCCATTCATAAGTCGTTAAACACGAGGTAATTTTAAAGAGAACATATTCTAAGATAGATTTATGTTGTAATGGATGTAGTTAGTTTGCCTTTTGTTCTAGATTCTTATGATTATGCAAAGACTAGTGATAGCACGTCACCTACACAAACTCCTAATTTTTCTTTCTATTTCTTTGAAAGTATATTATTTTTTCTTTCCTCTTACGTTTTTTGTTTATATTGAGAACATAGCGTATAATTTTATATCACTTTTAATATATTTATGACAATTATGTCAATTTATCCTTGTTCTAAATATAACTCGCAAAAGTCTTCTGAATCGAATTAACTATAAATAAACAACGAAGTTGTAAAGAAATTCACGCGATTCCGATATTCCTATTCATTCACAACATTTTTTGTATTATGTTCAAAATGAACTGGTTCTTTGTTCCGTGTTTTCGAGGTGAACAGGTTGTAGTGGGTGACGTAGTCATCATAATCATCAGATTATTGTGGTAAAATAAGTTTAATCGTCAAGGTGAAACTCAATTGTTCTTTTCTTTGTCATCAGGAAGATTTCTGCAATCTAACGGGTTAATATACAGTTCTATGAAATTTCCTTGTCTGTCTTGGAGGGAAATTTTTCTAGAGTTTCGTCAAGACGTACTCTTCAAGCAATTCCTTGGACGCACAATAAACTAGAAATGAATTTCACAGAAATTGGTTTTAATTTAAGGCAGTGTTTCTAAAATTTCTTTTTAAGATTTTACTCCATATACCTTTATAAATAAATTAAAGCGATGGTTTAAAAATAGTGAAAGCATTGTATCAAGATCAGATATTCGTCACTATTCAAGGACTTACATAAAGGCGTACACGTGCATGTGAAAGTCTAAAAATGTTATTAAACGCCGAATAAGAACAAGATCAACCATTAGAATCCTGAATTTGTTCACGATGAGGCTATTTGACAGAAGAAGATGATGACCGAGATTTATACTTCATGTATATGCGTAATCGAATTGGATGAATCACAAGCAAAACTTATTTCTGCTTAATTGAAAATCAATACTCTTTTTAAAAGATACATATATCAAATAATTCTTGACACTTATTTTACAGGTGTGAAAATCATCTTTTATCTCTTGTTCTCGTTTTTTAAACGAAATTTCAGTTATTTCTCTAATTTGTTATACCAAAATATTCTAATATCCTAATTTAGAAATTTTTATAAGAATAATTAGAGAACGTAATTGGCGAAAATTCATCCTAAATCAGTTGAATATCTCGAGATTTATGATCGAGATCTTAAACATAAGTGAAGAGAAATTGTCAAAAAAACGTGGACATCCGGAAATCTCTGGAGGCGTCAAATCGTCTGAAGAATCCAGTAATACATGTTATTACGTTTATCATTATGAAATGATTGTACAGCCGTTCGGCCAACTTCTTTTATGCAATAGAACATAATAATCGACCTGTACCAGAGGCTACAGTTCCCTGGTATAATAAGAATACACAAGGTATCCGCATGAAATAAACAAAAGTACCTGAGTTCTTCCTCAAAAGGAATTAATCTTCGAGTTCGTTTTACTAAAAGGATTGAAATGAAGTCATTTCTGGTATCGCTATCTTAATTCCACGAAGTGGAAAATCATTGTGAGATGGAAAAAGATCGTTTCATCTATCACTTGTAATTTAAATTTAAATTCTCAGAAGTTATAAGGCTCTCTTATCACGGTAATTATTAGACGATTATGTATTTTTGATTTAATGAAAGTATTAATGATAGTATGTGAGAATATTACAAATTGTTTAATGGATATTACAGAATATTTCTATGTATGCAATCATTCGGTGAAGGAAGAATTATAAGAAGTGACATGGGATTTAATATAAAATTTAACATAGGATTTAACGAAACGCAACGGTAGTGATGAAGAAACGAAATTTTGAACAAAGGCTTCGTCAGAATTTCTGCTAATTATTATTCATAATTCTCCTGCTATAACTTTCGTCAAGAGGTCTAAGGCAATAACGGTTAGAAATCGGATCACTATATTAAATTACAACGGATTGGAATCGTGATTTTTTATTATCATTCAATAAATCATAGCACTGATACTTTGTATGCAACTGTATTCATAATCGAGTCGCTGTCACGTTAATGGTTCGCTGAGTAGATTCTTGACGAGTGTCAAGAAAATGTTTTGAAATACCGTTCGATGATTTACGACGTGGTAAAATGTTTATATCGTCGCTTAATTCCGCGACGATCGAGCATTGTTAGAGGTATGCAGCACTGGCATAATTATGTTTATCCGCATGATATCGTGGCACCTTGAAGTAACAATTACAAGAATAATTGCGCGATACTGTGCTTCCGCTTATTCCAGTAAGCATTTTCTTATTTGACAATTTCGAAGTTTGTAATTTTCTTTTCTTCCTTTCTCAGCTGTGATTGGAATAAGTTTCGGATCGCCTTACGATGCTATTACAAAATTTCAAGCATATGTATTACATTTGCATATTATCAAGGAATACGAGAAGCTCGTGATTTATCTTAAGAGCATAATATAATTAAATAACGATATTGGAATAATGCTAAGTTTATATCTTAAAATCTTAGCTGTTTGAGCTTTTTCATTAACTATGATTTGTCATCAATTTCATTCATGGATGCTCCTAAAAATTTCGTATCATAGTTGACATTTTTAAATCTATTATCAAAATAATTACAGAACAATATTTATTTAAATTTTATAATGTAAATAAATATTGTTTTAAATTTAATTTAATATTTATATAGTTTTTATCAACCTGCCATTGTTCATTGTAACGATAAATACATTTAAGGAGAAAGAATTAGGAGCGCAAACAGTTAAGATACATAATGGTGTTTTAATACTGTTAAAAAATTTGAAAGTATTAGATTTTATTTAGGAGGAATGATGTATAGTAAAAGTGATTGGAACACCATGCAATTTTGTTCACTCCGTGTATGTACATCAAGAGATGTAATTTGCAACTTGCGTCGCGTGTAATATTTCAGACCATGGAAAGTGTCCTTGCGAGGTAAATAGGAATGGCTATGTAGAGATATAAGTTGTCTCGTGTCATGGTTCTTTTCGAGCTACGCAATGAGACTGTGATAGTGTATTTCGCAACTGAAAACACAATAAATGATAATATGAGCCATTTGTTTGGAAAATAATTGGCGGAATACACTTTGTATCATCGATATAAATCACTGCATCGCTTAATGATCTAAACGATCACTAATAATCAGTCAGTAATTTTCTTGTAGCAAGGACAACAGAATGCTGCTTTCATTGGAGATGATGGCCATGTGACTACTGATTTTCAACATCCCACAAGAGGTGACGATAACAAGGTAACTAATTAATATTTAGATTTGCGTAACATACAAGGTATGCAAATTATATAGCATCAAAAATGTTAAGTTTTCAAAATTATGGGAATTGCGGAAAACTTCTGATTGTAATTCCTAATAATCCCAAATTCATATTTTTATAAAATATTGTAAGAATAAAAATTGGTAAAATAAGAAATAGAGATTTACAAGGTTTCATTTTGGTTTCAGTATGAAGACAATTCCTTCAGCTTTAATTATGAAATTCAGGAGGATCGCAAATTGCCACTTTCCTTGTCGCTATCGGAGGAAACAGTAGGTTCAATAAAGCCCCGAGGAATTATCGCAGTTATTTAACAACGATCTTTCTTTTTTCAAATTTTCGACAGTCTATTAATGAAAACGAAGTGGAGAGAGCTACTTGGGGTAATGGATTGGAATTCTTGATGTCCTGCATCGCCATGTCCATAGGTCTTGGCAACGTTTGGCGATTTCCATTCACAGCTTACGAAAATGGCGGAGGAGTATTTTTAATACCTTACATTATCGTTCTATTTCTTGTTGGAAAGCCGTTTTATTATTTGGAGATGATCATGGGACAGTTCTGCAGCAGATCTTCAGTAAAAATGTGGGCAGCAGGTACGAAACTGCATTAAATTTAACATGAAGATAATAATAGGATAATATAAATAACAAACTTCTATCTTTTATGGATGAATTTAGTATGAATGAGTCTCGTAAAATGCTCTTGAAAGTTTTGTAAGGCGATTTAGTATCAATTTGATAGTTCAAAAATTAGATTCGTTATCGAGTTAAAGACAATTGTGAAACATCCTTGTCTCTGTTCTTGCTAACTTCGGAAAAGCATTTTATCGACTTAATGTAATTGGAGACTCTTGTATCAGTATAGACTATAATAACCAATATTGACCTAGTATTTGTCGAAATGCTTCATCACAGTCCTACGGAGTACTCGAGGGTTAATTAGGTCTTGCCCGGTTTGGTCTCATTTCGCAATGCTGATTGACGAGTGATGAACCATCGAGGATGCCAAAGTTTGAGCAGGAAGTAAAAGACTGAGGACCGGTTTCGCAAGTCAAAGTCGTTTACTACCTGGATCGTATATCGGTGTGTGCTTGGTGTAACAGGTTTAAATTATGGGTTAAATTACGCCTCGTAAATCATTATTGTTTCGACTCAAATACATGGATCTGATACTCGTGTTATTTTACGGTACGTCAATCGTCATTGGAAGATAAAAAGAAATATGGTTGAAATGTAGATAAATGTTAGAGTATATAGAACATCGGACATACAAATGAAAAATTCGTAATTTAGAAAAATTTTTAATTAATATTCCTTGTAGAGGAATAGAGTTGAATCTATATGTGTTTGTACATTCAAAATATACATGTTAATTACCAATTACCTCCGACGAGGTAATTCGAACAAGTTAGGTTTCTAATGAATTATCAAACATTGTTCTATAAATATCGTACCATTATTAAGATTTAATTATTTAATTGCAGCACCTGGACTTCGAGGAGTCGGCTGGGCTCAGATGTTCTCCATGCTCGCGGTAGGGACCTATTATTGTTCATTGATGTCGATAACACTGTACTACCTAATTGGAAGCTTCCAATCCCATCTTCCATGGTCCACGTGTTTGGAAGAATGGGGAAATTCTTGCGTCAATTCAGAAGGCTCTTATAACATAACCGAACGAAATGGCACCAATATGATAAGTTCCGCTGAACTTTATTTTAGGTAATTCTTCTTTCAAAATTAATATATATTTATAATATCCATAGTATCTATAATATTTCCAATCAATTCCGAATTATAAAATTAGAAAGTTCGAAACGATGATGATCACATCGTTACATCGCATTGCGCGGAATTAATATTAATCGACTGGCTAAAATCTTCTTTTTTTTTATCGACAGAAAAATCGTGTTGAAAGAAAAACAAGATATCAACGATGGTATTGGGCTGCCAGATTGGAGGCTAACGATTTGCCTGCTCGTCGCGTGGGGCTGCATATTTGCTGTCTTAGCACGTGGCGTGAAGAGTTCAGGGAAAGCGGCCTATTTCCTCGCGATCTTTCCTTACATCATCATGATAAGTTTGCTGATCAGAGCGGTAACCCTGGACGGTGCCGTGAACGGGATCATTTTCTTCATCAAACCGAATTGGGGGAAGCTGTTCGATGCGCAAGTCTGGTACGCGGCTGTTACACAGTGCTTCTTTTCACTGTCGGTGTGCTTCGGTGGTGTCGTCATGTACTCGTCATACAATGACTTCAGACACAATATATACAGGTTACTTCTTGAGATTTTTTTCATAAAATAATAAATTAGTCGGGTAACTAGGACAACTAACAATTGAAGTTTATTAAAATCTTGGACACCCTGTATATAATAAATTTCACTTGAACCTGAATTACGGATGTTCAAGGAAATCAGTGGAACGAAAACATAGTCACCTCGATTTCTTTTGAAACTCTTATCTTTCAGGATCAAGAACTTTTTTAAATGCCAGGCTAATTAAACCGAGTTTTCTGCGTTAATTTTATCACGGTATCTGAATCTAACCCGTGGCTTAATGGTCAAAACGATGCTAAAAACCTCATACGAATAGGATTTATATTTGACGGCTCTCTCATATTTGTTTTAGAGACGTCATAGTTGTAACTACGTTGGATACATTCACCAGTTTAATAGCTGGTTTCACCATTTTTGGTATCCTTGGAAATTTAGCTCACGAACTGGACACTGAGGACATCAGCAATGTTGTACGTGGTGGAACCGGTCTTGCTTTCGTCTCTTATCCAGATGCCATAGCGAAGTTTACTGTTCTACCGCAAGTAAGAAATCTAGTACACGTTTATGTACTATGTAACAACCATTTTCTTTTACGAAAAAGTGCTGCTCAAAGAGATAATAAATACACAGTGACGAAGAGATGATTGGCAGCTTTTTATCACTTTTAGTTATCCTATGTTATCTTCATAATATTTTGTTATTGTATTTTTATTATTTCTTGTCCGTATTCTATAATTAATTAATTATATAAAATTAATATATAATTAATATATATAATATAATAAATAATATAAAAAATAAGATTTTTAACTATTTTTACAATTTTTAGGTATTTTCAGTGCTCTTCTTTCTGATGCTATATGTACTCGGCATCGGGAGCGCCATCGCGCTAGCTGGGGCGCTTATCACCATTATCAGCGATCAATTTCCAAATTTGGATCACTTGTATATCGTGCTTGGCACAGTTACTTTCGGATTTGGTGCCGGTGTTATTTACTGCACACCTGTAAGCGTTATCATTAATTCCCTCGTTACATTATCGCCAGAGAAATGCGCCGAATGTTTCCAACTAATTGATCCACGTCTTTGTATATCTACAGGGTGGTCAGTTCATGCTGGAATTAGTCGACTATTATGCAGGTTCCTTCATAGTGTTCATCTTAGCCACACTGGAAATAACAGGTGTTTTTTGGGTGTACGGTTTAGAGAATTTCTTGGACGACGTGGAATACATGTTAAAAAGAAGACCATCCTCTTACTGGAGGTTCTGTTGGGGTGTTGGTACTCCCCTTTTACTGGCTGTAATTCTAATTTATACCTTAGTCACTCTGAAACCCTTGACTTACAGCGGTATCTCCTATCCTGACAGTGCACATGGTACGTATTTATTTTATTATTGTCAGTATTATATAATATATAAAGTAAAAGTATAAAATTTTATCTGATATAATTTGTAGCTGCTGGATGGACCATTTGTGCCTTCGGTATCCTACAAATTCCCTTTTGGATGATTTACACTATGGTCTCTAAGAGAAATTTAGACTCGTTTGAAGTGTGTATAATAATTTGTTCTTTTTTCTCTTATGTAATATAACGAGAATTTTGTACATAACAAAGGTAGTAAAAATTAATAACATTTCACAGATGATTAAGTCAGCCTTCACACCGTCGTCGGACTGGGGACCGAAGAATTCCAAGGAGCTGGCCTCCTGGCGCGAATTTAAGGAAACCAAGAGGAAAATACGAGAAAAACGGGATTGTTCTAAAATTAAACAGTTCATCTATGTGATACTCTGTTGGGAGGATAAGCTCGTGTGATGAAAAGAAAAGGAACACTTCCCTCGTTTGTCGTAAATTTACGATGATTTGAATCTTATTTTGGTTGGGTGTTAAAAGATTTGTCATGGAAGATTAACTTCGAAAATGAATTTATCTATTTTGTCATTTATCACACTTGAAAGCCAAACAAATTTTACTTAGGTAGTGGATTATTAATTATATCTTTCAAATCTAAGAAACATAATATGTGCTATACATAATTTGACATAATATTATTTAACGGAACAAAAGTAGAAGGGATTATAATTCGAGTGAAAGACGAATAGAATTTTTAAGATAAAATGTCTTTCATGTTAGATACGTTTATTTTCGGAGTGACTTCTTTCGACCCACCATTGCCGTCCTACAGATAAGTCGTACCCGCGTGTTTTCTCGTCGTAATCACATACAATATTTGCAAAAATACTATAAAGACTTATAGATTGATAAATCATACAGATGTTGCAAAACACGAGCATCCTTTGATATTAAGAAAGTTTATTTTCTTATTACAGGTAAAAAGAGAATTGACGAGTCCTTAACCCCTTTGCTGTTACGAAACCATATAAGAGTTTCAGTGTGGACCAGTATTACGTAGATCAGTATTATGTCACTGGATACTTTCTTATATAATCTTTGGAATTTCTCACTGAAGTAACTTAATGTACAGGGTGTCTCATTTTAAACAAAACGTAATTAAACAGGTGATATCAAGAAACGTTCCAAACAGGAATGTCTAGTAGGAGCATAGTCTTCGTTTCTAGGTGTATGCGCTTATCAAAGTGATCTACATATAGTGATCTTTGATTTTTAAAGTGAAATTATATATTTCGCTGTAACTATCAATTTATAATGCGAGGTTTTATCAAAAGTAGTTATATATTTTTCTAATTTCAAAAGCAAAGAGTTTGAGACTAACCATTTTGTCTTATTTGGTAGTTCTAGTGTTAATTGTAGTCTACTACATTTGAGTGTGACGCGCTTTTTGATATTATCAATAACTCAAACAATACTCGAGTTTGTTAATTAAGAAAGCACACTCTGTACGATTGGAGTTACATGTCTAAAAATTAAAAATATGTTTAACCCACCGCTGTCTGTATGGCACCTATGATTTTAATTCTATCTCACGATAGTTTTACAAAGTAGAATAAATTAGTCTATTACTTACAGCATTTACCATCATATTGACCACATGATTTACAAGCTTCCTAATTAATAAAATAAATTTTTATTTCATTCAAGACCAAAAGGATTAAAACGACGATCGAGTGAAATAATATTACGAGAAATAATTAACAATGTGGAGGTGGTATCGGATATTCGTCGTTCTCAAACGAAACAAACTTCCTTCCAGCATCGTAAAAAGCAGTATTAGATTATAGTAAAGAAACAAAGCCTGAAGATTAAAGTTCAGAAATTAATTTCTGTGACTCAGATACTGTAACTACCCCTAGAAAGCATTTGAATGAACGCTACTTACTAATGTTTTAACATACGCGCAGCAGACGTAAGGACAGCGTTTGATATTTCTTAATAAAAAGTATTTATAGTTTTCTCATTTTTATAACGATCACAAATTGTTAATCCATCTAGAATAGTTTCGTGCAGCTGTCAACATTCGTTAATCGTGAAATTTTATTGTCTTTCGTTTATAAAAATCTCCAATCATCGAACAATCCCTCATCTCTTTCTTCATCTGCGTTCATCGAAGATGGCGCTTCATCTTCTTGCTTTAAAATTTTTTTCAAATGACGTAAGTGCGTTGTTAGAAATAGTTGCACCGATTTTTAGAGATGTACATTGATCTTTCAAAAATACAACTATTACACGTTGCGCTTACTCGTAACTTCATTTTTTCCCTCTCGATCATCAGCTCCAGTTCGAATTCCTTTCTTCTCTTTCCCATTTCTTCACAAATCTAAAATTTATCAAGGACGGAAATGATTGAAAGGATATTTTACAGAGTTATGTTTAAGAAGAATAATTATGTCATTGGTATTTAACTTTATAATTTAATAGCCAATGGCCAAGGTATTCTATGGGATCGAAAGGTTTCTTCGCGATGATTTCTCGAAGGGCTTGCGCCAAAGGCTTGCTGAGTAAACGTTTCAAATAAAGTCCATCAAAAGATAAGTGATCATCAGAAGAAGAAGGCAAAGACACGAGAGAATCGTTTTCTTCTAGGCCTTTTATTTCCAAATCGCATAATCTTCGTAACTCTTTTATTTCTTCAATGGTAAATCCCATCGCGTTTAGAAGCCTATACAAAAATGGCGCCTCTCTTCGATGTAAATAATCGCATAATTAATCTGAAGAATTATCCATTAGACCAATCATTAGAAGACAATGAAATTCTTATCTGGTATCGTTAAATTCGAATTCAGTTAAACTCGTATTTCCTATACCTTTGTTAATACTATAATGCTGTCGATATCACCGATATCATCACGTAAAGTACTAACGCATATTAAAATTAAGTACTTCCGATTTAAATAATTTATATCAAACCATTATATATCTGTTAAGATACAATTATAACGTGAGTTAATTCTCTCACCTGTGAAATTCATCGGTGAAACCAATTTTAAGAAAAGTATTTATGAAACTCTGACTCATTGATTTCTCGCGCAAGAACTTCTCGATTTCTTCTCGAGGATTTGAAATTTCTTCTGACTTATCCGTTTTTTCAGCTGCGTTTTCAGGTTCTTCGTCGAATTTCAACGTTTCTTCCTTATATTCCTCGGGCTTATGTTTTTTGTCCTCGATTAAAGCTCTTTCTATTTCTTCTTTCGTGATTTCCAAGTTCTTCAGTATTCCCCTTGCTTCCTCGCTAATTTCCTCGGGCTTTCGTTCCTCCAATTTGTCCAAGTCTGACTGGCTTACACCATGTTTCTCCAACGTCGTCTTCAGCTGATCATAACGAGTATCAAGTAATTAATACCGAAGTATATCGTTCTATTAAACGATTCTCTAAATTATATAATACTTCTCCCAATTTTGTCTTTCTCTCATCTTCATTGGACTCCATGATCGATCTCTTTCCAAGGTTATGATCCTTTTCTTCCCTTTAGCCCCTCTGCGCCTCTTAAAGAGTTATTCTAGCTTGCAACGCTAACTTCGCGATGCCTATTTCTAAACGAATAAATGATGTATTGAAACAATTTTACAGGCTTCCACCCTACCCAAATTTTTAGGTATTGAAACGACACTATCCAGTATCCAGTAATTGGAGCAAATAGGGGTTGAGTATTATTTCGCATCATACTTACGAAAAAATCAGAAGAAAATCTGTTATAACTAAATAATAGGAGGAAAAATTCGAATACCAGTCATATTTTGACATCCTAAAATTGGTAGTACTACCATTAAAAGATGTCACAGTTATTACAAACGCAACTCCAATCTTTATCTATCCTGTTTTCGCAGGAAAACGTCTTTTGACTCAGGACGGTCCATGGACCACCAAATTAACGTACAAACAGGAGCAAGGAAATAGTCCTTTCTGGCACGGTATCTTGTTAACAATTAGCTAAGAAGGAAGATTAGTTCGTCAAGAAAGAAGATTAGTTCGTGTCTCGTTCAAGAGGTTAAACCTTTCCATCGAATTCCTCTTTGCCCCTGATCGTTAAAATATCGTCGGCGAACGTGTCCCCTTTGGAAGAATCGTTATCAGAGCGGTGTGCACGAAGCTACAACGCAATCTAGCTGTTGGGATCACGATCGCTTTATCACCAAGGTTCCTCGAGTGTTCGTCGGGGGTATAAGATCGACACACATTTCACGATATAAGAACAAACGCGCGATGTCGATCGCGACTTCCATCGCGAGCTGAGAGATCGCGATCCCGAAATCTTATCGCGGCCTTTCCTTCGTTTCGTCAACGCTCGAAGAACGTTCTTTGTCTTCGTTGTGGTCGTTTTGTCGCGACGTTGACAAGAGAAAATGGTGAGTGACGTTATGGTGGTTCTATTCTACGAGTCGCCATTGTGATGTAAGCTTCCGAGAGGATTCATGGTGTATGAGTGTTGGTCCCATTTTGCGAGATTTGAGAGCGAGTCGTTCCATTTTACGAGTCTCTGTCATTATGATATAGGCTTTTGAGGGGCTTCATGGTGTAGAGTATCCGCGTGATCTCGATGGCGAACTGGAAGTTTGCGTTTCTAAAACCCTTGTTACACTTGTTCGTTTCGTTAATTTTTGAGGAAAGTTCTTTGTCTTTGTTGTGGTCGTCTTTATCGCAACATTGCACAGGAAAGAAAGGTTGAACGTTTCACGATGAGATAAGCGTAAAGATATCGTTGATCTGTAGTCCTCTACGAGTCATTGTTAAGCACTGCCCATTTTCGGCTCCCATGATTATCTAGTGTTTACATTTAAATAATTTTTAATGGTGATTCATTAATTTTTATTCATTGCTTTCCTTCTTCGTATCTTGGAATTGGCGTACTTGTCAAATACGTGATCTTAGTCTATGACGTCTATGATGTTTATAACCTACCCTATCGTGTTCAATCTTAACCTCTTCAAGCAGCTCCGAGTTCCTCGAAGTACATTCACCTTAGTAAAAATTAGTCGGTATACCATGTATTCAACATTTCTAATTTCAAAGAAACCCAAATCTTTCATCTTGTGCATCTCATTATCGTTCTCTCTTTGGTACATCGACGAACGTCCTCGAGGCACTAGTCACACTCTATCCTCGACTCAGAGCTGTCTCAATAGGATACGATATCCTAGGAACCAAGACAGAATTCTTTGCTCGTACGAAAAATGTGATTTTCTCTTTGACTTTCCCAGATCTCTGGTATATTTACTCTAGCCAATCGAACGATATCGGATACTCGAGTTGGGGTAGAAGAAATCCAGCGAAACCAGGCGTTTAGAAGCACCCAGTATTCGCAATCCGCCTATCACGAAAGCCGTAGGAAGCGATAAACGGCTTTGATTGTATTTTTGTCAGGGAGACACCCGTGATAGCGAGATTTTACTCACGCGATAACAGCTGTTCTACGTTAGCAGAGAGCTTAAAACCTAATTCGTCGCTATCTAGGCGTTAAACTCGAAGGATTGACTGTTTTATCGTAACGAACGATTCGTAATTTATGATGTTCCGTAGGATGACGGAGGCTATCAAAATCTGGCGTTTGCCATGGACGAAACGGGGAGAGAGAAAACGAACGAGCCAAAGAAGTCGGTCTTGGGATGTGCGGAAACGGCTAAGGAAACGGAAGCACCAGAAGCGAGGAGTACCTGGAACAACGAAATAGAGTTCCTGATGTCCTGTATAGCGATGTCGATCGGTTTTGGAAACATCTGGAGGTTCCCTTTTACTGCTTACGAGAATGGTGGAGGTGTCTTCTTGATACCCTACATCATCGTCCTGTTCCTCATTGGCAAACCATTTTATTATCTGGAGATGATCCTTGGACAGTTTTCCTCATCCTCGTCCATCAAAATTTGGAACGTTTCGCCAGCGTTCTGTGGTAAATTGAACGATTAGAATCGTCTAGTTGTGTCTTATTATCAATGATGATCTTGATCATTGTGTCTTGATACCGAGGGTTATCATTTTAGGCATTGGATGGTCCCAATTCTGCTCGAACGTGGCTCTGATGACGTATTATAGCTCGCTGATGGCACTGACGCTTTTCTTCTTCATCGCGTCGTTCTCTGCTGAGTTACCTTGGGCTAAATGCAGAGACGAGTGGAAGGATTGCGTCGATTCGGGGCGAACGATCGATGATAACAAAAGCTACGTTGCCTTGTTCTCTGCCGAGGAGCAACGTAGAAGTTCTGCCGAGCTCTATTTTCTGTAAGTTGTTAGTAATACTTTTGGTAATTTGCTTACCAGGACAATTTAAGTCCAGTATAACTAACATTGAAGTTAAGAGGAATTAAATTTTTCGATATTTAACCCTTTGTACTCGAGAGGCACCCTTCAGTCGCCATTTAATAAAATTTCAAAAATCGATATTCATTAATACGTCAAATTTAAAATAATGTAACAGTGTGCGAGGTATCAAAATGAAATAATTCTACGTGTTAATTATTATACGATTTCTTATTTAGTGCTCGAAAAAGTATCGTCAGCTTTATAGCAGAACTTCGAATTCCTACTCTTCTTTAGTCAAAAAAGCGTCAAGTGCAAAGGGTTAATTCTACTGCTACTGACGTTGAAAGCTAGAAAGATTAAATTAGTCGATATGAAAAATAAGAGAGACTAAGTGAAAAAATAAGACGTATTTCACATGACAATTTCAGCAAGGTGGTCCTGAAAGAGAAGGATAACATAAACGACGGAATTGGGTTGCCAGATTGGAAGCTAACGTTGTGTCTGCTCATCAGCTGGCTCTCGGTTATCCTCATCACGTTCAAGGGTGTGAAAAGTTCCGGGAAAGCTTCCTATTTTCTCGCAATTTTCCCCTACATTGTCCTAATCGCCCTTTTAGTCAGGGCAGTGACCCTGGAAGGCGCTGGGACAGGGATCCTCTTCTTCGTCACCCCGAAATGGTCGAAACTCTTGGAGCCCACTGTTTGGTACGCTGCTGTGACACAGTGTTTCTTCTCTCTTTCCGTCTGTTTCGGTCCTATTATAACATATTCGTCACACAATAACTTCAAACACAACATATACAGGTAAGACACGAATATTCTTATTAGACTCAGCTAGATTATCATCTCGTTATAACTTCGTGCAACTTATATTCCTGATTTCGTTTCGAAGAGGAGCCTATCTGACAAAGTCGTGTATCGAGATTTATTCAAAGACGAAATTTTTCTTCGTTTGTAAAATCGCGGTATCGTTCAAAATTCGTTCTTCGAGATACTCGTGAAACGAGGCTGTAAATATTCTTAATCCTTCCAGGGAAATTATATATTTGTGTGCATCGTATATGGCTGTTAGGTGAAAGATATGCACATGTGGTTATTTTCTCAGTGATGTAATTCCCGAGGACGAGATTTGAGTGAACCTGATGTTCCAGGGACGCACTTATCGTGACTAGTTTAGACACCCTAACAAGTTTCATAGCTGGATGTACGATTTTTGGGATTTTGGGGAACCTGGCACACGAGATGGATATAGAGGATATCGACAAAGTGGTGAAATCTGGAGCTGGACTGGCGTTCGTCTCTTATCCTGACGCCATAGCCAAATTCGATTTCTTACCTCAGGTAAATAAGTCAGAATTATTTAACTAAATTTAATTAATCGTACTTAAATTTGTATGGTGAAAATAAATAGTTATACGTATAAAATTATTTATATAACTTTCATGATTATTCAACCTCTTTTACTGAATCAAATAAAATGATTAATTTTAGATATTTTCTTTTTACTGCTATCTAAAGTATGCAGTTTCATCAATTTTCTCGGACTACCGAAAAAATCTTCTCTTTTTTGTTCTTTCTTATGTTTCTGTATTATTTTTTATTTTTACCTCAGGAAAGGTATAATTATATTTTATAGTTATTCTCAGTGCTGTTTTTCGTGATGATGTTTGTCCTCGGAGTGGGCAGTATCGTAGGAATGGTCTCAGGAGTGGTGTCTTCCTTAAAGGAAAAGCTACCACACGTGGAAATCTGGAAAATCGTGGTTCCTGTTTGTACCATAGCATTCGCCGTTAGTACGGTTTATGTCACTCCGGTACGTATCTTCTGAATCTTCAAAATTTTATTGTTCATTTTACCACTCCCTTTTTCCTAATTTTCAACTTCATAAACATAATTAGCCTGAAAGAAATTTAATTGGTATAAACATATTCTTGGAATCTAATGAAAAACTCGATCGACATTTTCAACTAAAATAACGGTGAGCTAAAAAATTTGCATAAATATGGTAATTTCTAGTATTTGTCAGCTTTAGAAAGACTGGTAAAAGATACAATAATGTGGAGAGTATAAATAATTATTTTCCACTCTTAATTTGTTAATTAAATTTGTTTGAATACAGGGCGGGCAATTTTTATTGACGTTGGTCGATTACTATGGTACGTCATTTGTGGTCTTCATCTTAGCTTCTTTCGAAATTACCGCCATCACGTGGTTGTATGGTTTGTACCTTTTTTTACTGGAGAATTGTAATGAATTATGATTCTTTTCATTCATGAGTAAATGAAATTCCAAGTATTTAGAAGGAAAAGAATATAGATACCTGTACAGGTACCTGCTCATAGTCGAATAAATTTCTTTCAGGTATAGAACATTTTCTGGACGATATAGAATTCATGTTGGACAAAGAAACCAGCAGTTACTGGCGAATTTGCTGGTTCCTCGTGACACCGTTGATCTTAATAATAATTTTCATTTACACCGTCGCCACTCTATCTCCATTGACATACGGTGAAACAGAATATCCTGTCTCAGCTCACGCTGCTGGCACGGTTATACTTTGCTTCAGTATTTTCCAAATACCATTTTGGATGATCGTTGAAATGCTGAAGAACAGAGACTTGCCACTCTCACAGGTATCGCAGAAAATACCCTAAATTCTATTCTTCGTTCTTCTTCCTTATCAGTCTTTGATATTGTTAATATTTACTTTATATTTTTCCTCGGCTCTTTCGCTATGACTGTAAATAACATATCGCAATTATGGTCCTGTATAATTCTTCTGTTTGCAGAATTTAAAGAAGTCTTTCATGCCAACGTCACAATGGGGGCCCAGAGAAGACAAGTACAAGAAAGCCTGGCTTCGCTTCAAAGAAGAAAAAGAGATGGAAAGGAACTCCAGGACAAAATCCAAATGGCTCCGATTAATATACACTTTAATTCGTAAAAACGAAAAGAAAGATTAGAGACTGATGCCGAATCTCTTCGTACAAAATCATCTTCGATGCACCGAGCAAAGCAAAAATGATGTACTTCTCTGTTCCTTTTGCTTCGGCTCTTTGGTCTGAGAGTTACCGAAGCAGGATGAGAATTTAATATTTATTTATAAGAACGTAATATTTATAATACACTGTGTCTTTCGTAAAATCGATTAGACTTAGCTCTCGTTGATATGCATGCGACAATAGCGAAGAGAAACTTCTGAATTGAAAGAAACGTTTCCTCGACAGCGTGATCCCATTCAATCCTCTCCGATCAACATCGCAACGATCCTCGATCTCTTTTTGTCCAAATTCATCCTAGCTATTCGCTTCGCATCCTTGAATTCCTTCCACTTCTTGTATCTTATGGGATCCTTGGGACCCCAGCTGGGTGTCGGCTTCAGAATCTAAGATGAAAACGTGGAAATAAACGTTTGAGCAATTTTACTCTTTC